GGCCAGCTTTCCCCAGTTTATGTACTGAGCATGACGTCACATGGTATGGAATGTCCCTTTGGCCAGTTTGGCTGTGCCCCCTCCCAGCTTCTTGTGCACCTCCAGCCTTCTCAGTCGGTAGAGCATGGGAAGCTGAAAAGTCCTTGGCTAGTGTAAGCACTACCTAGCAACAACTAAAACATCGGTGCGTTATCAACTTTGTTCTCATCCTAAATCCAAACCACAACACTGTACCAGCTACTAGAAAGGAAATTAACTCTATCCCTGCCGAAACCAGGACATGGGGTAACAGAAATACTGAGCTACACAGAAAATCCTGAGTGATCGGACTAGCAAGGGTTATCTCTTGCTCCAAAACACGACCTGCTAGCCTAAACCCGAGCCCTGCCCGCCTGGTATTTCTCCACCTCTTCCCTTACAGCCCTCCAGTGCTGGCTGGGGCCACCCCCTTCTCCCTGCAACTGCAGACAGAAGGGGGGGTTTTGCCTGCAGCAGAGAGCAGGGGTTACATCCCACGGCTGGACTGGTGTCGCAGCCAGCACTGCGACTTTTCTAATACGTGCGCATTCCCGGCCTCTTAGCTTTGCTCTCTGCCGGGTCTACCTTTAGCGATTCGTTTACTGACTTGAGGCAGAGTTATCTGTGCTTAAGGAACAAAGTCTTTGTTCATTGCTGCCCAGGAATGATAACGTGCCCTCAAACACTTCACTCGACTCATGCCCTCAAACACTTCACCCGACTCTTCACTCGGCATCGAAACAGCCCTTTGATGCCCCTTGGCATCGAAACAGCCCTTTGATGCCCCGTGAGACTCCCCACACGTTACGTCAGGCCCATGCAGCCTCGCCGAGCTGGGTTTGCAAATGTATGGGCAAAAAGCTTTTCTCTTAATTTTTCCTAATTTCAGTTAATGAGGAAGGCAGTAGCACGGGACAGGTGACCGCAGCTCAGTTTCCAGCTTTTTTATGCTCCTTGTAAACTCCAGGGCAAATCCACTAGCGCGTTTCAAAGCGTTAAGAATATTTTTTCTTTATAAGAACTGGAAACTTTTAACCGGTTTGTAAGTTTAACCTCAAGCTCCACCCTTTCATCCCCTCTATAAAATGGCAATAGGTGCCTCCCTGTGCTGGAGGTGAATTGTGGGGATAAACTGAATGAAACGTGGGACCTACAAGGGTGCCACAGCGTGAACGTGTGTGTGTGTGTGCACATGTAACAGCTGTGACAGCCACCCCGCTAACTCAGAAAGACGCAGATAAGCAAACACGAGCACCACAGGTCAGGAACAACTATTTCATTAGGGCTGATTTGTCTTGTTCTGTAATTAAAAGTCAGACTGGCCCAAGCCCCTGCTGTGGCTAGAGCCATGCCGCTGTAAGAAGCCTGGGCAGCGATGCTCCTTCCTGTGATGAAATCGGTTCTTGCTGTATAAAGCGCCGCGAACGCTGCACGTGTCGCAAGAGCCCACATCGCTTTCAGCTCGCTTGAAAGGTCAGAGCAGCCACACACCTGGAGAGTCCTCAGCCCCGATTTAAGAGCAAAAAGCCAGCGCCCACTGTGCCTCCTCGGAGTGGAGCAGGGATTGTGATTAAAGGTCTGTTACTAGGTGGCACCTCATCCTCCAGCAATATTCTAGTTTCTGGAACTTGGAAGCGAACCCTGGTTTCATATTGTATCGATGGCCTTGGAACACAGTCACCTGGCAGCTCTAAGTAGCTTAAATTTCATTAGCTTCAAGCTGTTAAATGTTTCAAGAATTGGCTATTAGCAAGCTCACACTACACAGTAATTTTCATTCACCTGCTGGCTTGCAGGGAGCCATTCGTGCCGCAGCAGCGTGCGCTCACCTCGGACTGGGGTGCAGCAGCAGGCAGGACGGGGCCACAAGCCCCGGCGTGGCGCAGGGTCCGAAGGCGACAGCCTCAGCTCAAGAGGATTTTGACAGGGGATTCAGATGCAGAGCCAGGGGAGAGCCGCCTCCTTCCCCAGACACGTTGACCCCAGCCACTGCCCCCCTGGCAGGACACAGCTCTGTCGACGCACAGGGCAGGGTCACAGCTGTTTCGCTGCTGAAGCCGTAACGCTGTCAGAGTCCCCCGAGGGTCCCACCACAGGCACTTCCAGGAGGTGGTGGGTCCGTAGGGGCTGTGCCCCGCGGCTGAAGCCAGTCGCAGACAGCAGGTGACTCTTCTGCAGGTGACGTGCCTGCGTCAGTACTGCAGAGAAAGGCACCGGGGTTAACTCAGCCTCAAAACTTCACTCCCAAGAATCTGGAAAGCCACTATCTAGCAGGGAACTGAAATGAGCCGTGATCTCAGCCCTACAGCTTGTTTTGTCCTTTTGCCGCTGCAACCAAGACCGCCTCCACTCCTTCCTGCTACCCACAGGAATAACTCTGATGGACAAGAAAGGTTTTATCAGCTCCCAATTTGCTACCAAGCCTCCTCACACCCTTGCCATCCCCAGGACCTGGACCTGTTCCTTGGGATCCTTTATCATCCCACAAAGCCAACTGGTTTACGCTGGCTTTCGCAGCCCGTGCATCAAAGTGACGGCGGTATCGTGGACGGCAGAGAAGCCCTCCCCGAAAGAGCTGCTTAAATGGCTGCTACCCTGAACACGGACACAGCTGCCTCGCTGGAGGGCACAGGACCAAGGGGCCATTCCCAGAGCACCAGCCCTCCAACGCGGTTCCCTCTACCCCTTCCCCCCCCCAACAGGTCAACAGCACCAGTATTTTACATAATAACCAATAAGGATTCGGAGCGGAGGATGTTTCTCCACGTGAACAGGCCCACAGACCTACCCGCGACCTGCACCTCTGTGTGTGTTTGTATACCTATAAAAAAATACATATATACACCTCACCCAGGGACAAGGGGCCCTAACGAGACGAACACCAGCTGTACACGAGCCCAAGCGCACTTCGCCAGCGCTTGTCTCCCTCGCCCCCAAGCTTTTCCCTCAAGGGGTGGGAGAGGCCCCGACGAGTATTTTACATAATAACCAATAAGGATTCGGAGCGGAGGATGTTTCTCCACGTGAACAGGCCCACAGACCTACCCGCGACCTGCACCTCTGTGTGTGTTTGTATACCTATAAAAAAATACATATATACACCTCACCCAGGGACAAGGGGCCCTAACGAGACGAACACCAGCTGTACACGAGCCCAAGCGCACTTCGCCAGCGCTTGTCTCCCTCGCCCCCAAGCGCTTTTCCCGAGGGGTGGGAGAGGCCCCGACGCCGCGCTGACCCGGCGTTATTCAGCCCCCGGCGCCCCCCGTTTCCA